GTTACCTGAACATTCTGAAGAGGGCAGACAGTTGTCCTTGAATAGCCCGAACATTAATCCATGTGATTTCTTTCTCCAGAACTTATTTAAAGATGAGGTATACTCAAAGAAGCGTAAAAATGTAGCTAGAATCAAAGTAAGAACTCTTATCCTGAATTTGAGTTGTGAAAATTTGGAAGATAATGTGCTGGAAGTTTGTTCTAAATCCAAAGGTTCGTTAATTGCAGCAGGTTGCCAAACAAAATGACTGACATACTGATCACGTTTCACATTAAACTCATTTTTCGTGTTCAGAAGTTTATTATGCATTCATTTTTAATACTTTCATGATAAATGAATGTGTATACGTGCACTAATGTGCACCTTAACTCTATATCAGTAATATAAGCGATATAATTTAATATTTAATATAATGTAGTATATGTCTGAATGTCTATCAGTTCTTTCAAAAAACAAAAATGAGAAATTTATGCGTGCGTGTCTCTGTCACACGGAAATACTTATACAAAGGTACAAAATTTCTCGAAATAGCTTTGGTATGCTTGGAGAGTATATTCCTTGATTTAATTCATTGGTTTAATCAGTGAGTATAATTTATGTGGCTTCAGATAAGCAAACAAAATGTCTCATGAATTTGTAAACGGAAAGGAACAGTTTATAGATTATGAGACAGAGAAAACTGACAACTGTGAGTCCATTCTCCAGTTTGATGTTCACACTGTCACCAAATAAAATCGTCAGATATTGGCATGCATTCTGCAGCCAAAAATGAGAAAACATTTTCTTGTGAATATGGTGCGAAATACATGGTTGGAAGTTTGAATGAATACTGATACGTGGAGCACATAGAACAATCGTATTTTCACATGATATGCGAGATTTATTCTGAAAAAAAATTATAAAAGTAATAGAGAATTTCTTACATGTGGTGAGCTGAATGAGGCGTTCCGAAATTTACAATTAGAATCACAAAATTTCTCAGATAATTTCCGTAAGCAAAATTATTTTTGAACGCTTATTAGATGAATGTTAAGGTTTTGAATACTAGTAAACCACTATTGATGTGTTTTTAAATATTTATAGTTAGTTTAATCAGTTTTTGATCTTTTCAGTCACTATATAACTTATCATGTAAAATTAAATATTCATGTTTTAGTATGTTTCCATTAAATTAATTAAAATGCTTTGAAATTTTTTTCATAATTTAATGTTATATGTTTTCAGTTTTTTAAAACAAGTGTGGACAAATATGATCATATTAAGCAACGTAAAATATTATCATATTAAGCAACGTTCACACTATCCAAATTCGTGAACAAATTAGAAGAAAATAAAGCATTACCGATCTACAGAAACATTGAAATTATGGTCTTATTCATTGCGATATTTTCAAGATTTCTCTAATAGAGTACATAAAGGCATTGAGTATGTCAGAATAACACATACATTTGATAAGTTAGAATGAGAAGGCACAAGAAACACATGAGATTTATTTACAGCATGAATTTAATAAAAACAGTGCTCAGCCGCAGTTTGTCCTAGCTTTTATCTATAGAAACATTTTCGTCTTCCAATTCCGCTGTGATGAAGAAGATGTAAAAGCAACCTAAAAATACTTTTTGACTTAACAGTAGAGGAATTTTGTTAGTATGTGTTAAACCTATTATAAGACATGTTATAAGATATCAAGGTGTTCAAACCAAATACCAGCTACATTAATGTGTTCGTTAACCATTTTTTCTTTTCCAACTAAAAATTGTTTTCGCGTTCTTAACATAAGCTAGTTTATAAATATATATTTAATTAGTAATATTTCTTTTGTGAGATGTCTGTTTTGCATATAATGTGTCCCACCACTGGGCGAGTGGGTTAAGACAAAATTTCTCAAAATGTCCCTGTTCGGCCCGTATTCGAACCCAGACGAACGGACTAGCTGCAAGGTTATTTCTCGTAGATTTCCTTATGTATTGTCAATACGAATCAATTTCATTAGGAAGTCCTTCAAGAAGGCAAGTTATAAAACATACGAGAATATTTTCTTCCTTTAGGCAATTAAAACTGTTATAACTATATCCAAATAGCCTAAGCTAAACTTTCTATATAGTTCAGATACAGGAGTAACCTTATAGACGAACACTGTTATAACAACAAATTTATTGCAGTACTAGAAATGATGATTTTTCATTCTAATGATATTAGAGGTGATTGTGCCTACCCGAGGACAAGCGATAAACTAATTGAACTCTGACAGTTCGACATGGGTTCGATTCCAAGCAAATGAACTACATGAGCATTTATGTGGATTTTCCCATATGTCCCCCACGAAGACATCCCTACTATTAGACACACAGCGCTAGCCTGCTTTGCCTTAATCATATAGGCCAAACCGAGTCAAACATGATGAAATCACAATAACCGCCTTCCACATTTTATGGTCATTTGAGTATTTCAGACTGAAAATCGTATCTTAAGAAAAATTTCAAGATAATCTATAAATTTGTGCTTTTTATATACTTAAATGTCTACCATTCTAAAAAAAGGAAGAGGGAAAAACAGGCTTGCAATAATTTGTTTTTGAAAATAATGATTTCTGCAAAGTTTATTTAATATAAAAATAGAACAACTATTATTATTTATTTTAAACTGATTCAATGTTTTAGAAGTAGTACTACCAGCTTTAGATAAAAACATATGAGAAATAGTAGTTAAAATAATTTATTAGTTAATAAATCTGCAATGTTTCACTGCACAATTCTACATAAAATAATGTCCATAACTATTAAATAGGTGCTTTTATTAACAAAATGATACAATAATTTGCATTTAGGAGATAATGGTTTTCATAAAATTTAGTATAAAAATAGAGCAACTGTTATAATTTATTATAAACTGATTCAACTTTTCAGAATTAGTATTAGCAGATTTAGATGGAATGCATTTAGCAAATATTACTGTCATTATTTGATAAATCTGCAATCTTTCCCTGCCCAGACGACTGCAATTATACATAAAATAGTATCCATAAATAAAAATTTACATTTCGTTGAATAAGAAAATGATATCACTGATTTTTTACTCCAATTTTAATTTCAAGAGATGGCATTTCGCATGCAAGCTTTTTCAGACCCATTTTGCTTAGAATTAAGGCCCATTCAAATAGAAATTATCAATATAAACTGCAAATATGTGTAACAAATTAGATTGCATTAAATTCAGCTAATTTCTGAAATAGCAAATATTACTGTCATTATTTCTGAAATAGCAAATATTACTGTCATTATTTCTGAAATAGCAAATATTACTGTCATTCTGAAATTATTTTACCAAATTTATTTTGCGTATTTTTAACAGATTAGAAAAATGTTGATATCTGCTGAAAAGTTATAAATTTTGTACTTACACCGAAAATAATTATATTACAAAACTTAATGTTTAAGGCATAGCTGTTAAAATAAAAAAAAATAGTACTGCTAGTACTTACACCTGAAATATTTGTCTTAGGAAACGTAGTATTAATATTTAGAGCATAGCTCTTATGGTAATGTTTTTTTTTCACACTAGCGGATTCTAGCCGTTTATTGCCGTTGTCCACTTCTAAGGTCTAAAGCGCTGGTGTCTGTATTCCGGAAGACATCTGATAAGTGGGACACCGTTGCCTCCTACGAAGGGACAAACAAATCACATCTATGCCTTTTCCGGGATTCGAGCCTGGATCCTTCAGTACGGCAGTCAGAGTCATTAACCAATTTAACGTCTGAGTGACCACTCTTAAAATAATATGAATACTAGTAATGTATGAAACATAATTTCTAACTGAGCATCTGGAATACATTCTCATTCCCTTTTGACAAATTTGCAGGGAACATTCTTAGTGAACCATACGAATAATCCGAAATTTATTCCTTAAGATGTTATTCTGTGAGAAAATACGGTCAAAGTACGAACATCCGTTTTGGCCTATTGACAATAATTCCTTCTCCCTACCTCCTACCCTGATAAGAGTGGAAAAATCCCTACGCTGGTTCTGCACATGCGTTGGAGGAGAGCCGCTGGACTAGCTGTTCTCTTCACTGGCCAGAAGGGGAATTGAATCCTGAAGCTGAAGATCAGGATATTTTTGCCTCTTAACATCTTGACTGACTACGCTGGGAAACCACTTGCGTGCACGCCGGTCGCGAATTTGGGGTAGTTTGTGGATTGCCCGGAATGCCGTGTTTTACTAATCGGATTGATCAGTATGCGATTGAAGATCGCGACGCAAATTTGCTTAAACAATCGAATTTTATGAACACTTAACAAATCTGTGACATTTGTATTTCGTTAACTTTTGATTTAAGGTGTAGCTAAAGTTCGACAGTTAACTTTACGCGAGCTTTAAAAGATAAAAGCCGAAGTATATCATTTAACAAATCCTCATTTTTACCGTGGTGCATAAATTAATCCCAATTCTTAAATGAAGGTTGCAGATGGAACTTTTTGATAAGAAAACTCAAGAAACTGTACTTATGTATGTTGTTTAGTGATTAGATGTTTGTGAATTATATGTGGAATATCACACAAACCATATGTGCACTATTTATTCGATCTGAACTTGATGTTTCGTAAATGTTTGAACAAATAATTACTTTTTTCCAAGAAAACTACTAATGAATGACATCTGATTGCTTTTGAGAAAGATATTCACAATTTTATTGCACTGTATTCATCTGAAATAAGACCGTAGTACTAAGCACTGGATGAAACACCACATGTACTTTACAGCACACAACTTTAAATTTCAAATAATATAAGAAATTTTATTATCTACAGGTATTTCATAATATATACCACCCAAGGATTTCAGTAACTCACGTAAGAAGTATTACTAAGATCATTTTTTTGAAATTCGATACTGTACAGAAAATTTGCATATTGTTTAGATATAGATTTTACTGACAATGGCATTCAATATAAAAAGATTTAACTCGATGTCACTTTGTGTACTGCATATTTATCTAGTAATGATTCTTAATACCAGGCATCATTTAGCGTCTTCAAGACATATAGACGCAGAATCTAAGACATTAAGCTCTAGAGTTGTTAACACTCGTTACGGTCAGCTGCGAGGATTTATCAGCAGTTTACCTAGCCGTCAGTTACAACCGGCAGAAGTGTTCTTGGGGGTCCCCTATGCCGGAGCTCCTAAGGGTCCACTGCGTTTCATGCCGCCGGTAACATCACCTCATTGGAAAGGCGTGCGTTTAGCAGATCATTTGAGTGCTGTATGTCCTCAGAAGTTGCCAGATGTTGCTAATGAAACGGAAGCATTAAAAAGAATGCCATTGGGCAGATTTTTATACCTTAGAAGACTCATCCCATATTTAACCAATCAAAGCGAGGATTGCTTGTACCTGAACATCTACGCACCATTGTCAGGTAAGCAGAAATTATGTTCTTAAATTACTTATTAAAAACGAAATTCCTTTAGCAGCCAAACTAATATTTCCGTTTTTACATTAATAAAAAATTTTAAATTAATACTAATAGTAATTAAAACAATAAACATTAGTTGTAATGATATTAATAATGCATTATTAATTCTCGAGATAGCGATCTAAGAATGTTCGTTGGTTTCTTAAGAGCTCTAAAATATATCTCAATTTCTATAAATGGAATAAATATAATATACTACGATAAAAGAATTAATCACATTATTTGAAGATCCTAATGTTTAATGAAACTACCATACATTTGTAAACATCATTCTCCTTTATTTCTGAGGCCCACCAGTGGCCGAGCGGTAAAGTCGCTGAACACTGGTAGTTCGGTCCGAGGTTCGAATCCCGGAACGGCTGGCGAATGGGGTTTTCGTGGTTCCAATGTGAAGTGTAAGAGCCAGTTTCCCTTAGAAAGTCCTCCACGAAACATCCCTCCCCTTAGGCAGATAGCCCTAGTGAGCTTTGCCATAATTAAATACAACACCAATACACACCTTTATTTCTGAAGCAATATCTTAATAATTTCCCAAAACTAGTCTCATTTAATTTCATTAACCAAACAAAATTGCTTTCACCACATTCCAATACGTAGGTCTTAAAATAAACACATAAAAGCAGAAATATTTTAAGTGTGTTTGTATTTAAGACTTCAATGCAATGCGTTTAAATGAGTATAATTATTCTTATACAATATTGTATTTCTTAGTGTCTCTCTTTCTTAGTTATTACTATAGTGTATTTCTTAACGAAAATAAAACATTTTCTTTTCTGTAACGCATTTTTTAAGCTAACATATTTAATTTTTTCATTAACGCTGAATCTTTAAGACGTTCTTATAAAAATATTAATGAGAATTAATTGATAATGCTGCCATTAAGGAAACAGCAATAAAATTAAAAGGGAAATGTAAAATTCACAAAGCAAGAACCTTGTGCTTGGAGTAGATTTTAGTGAAAACCAAAAACGTTGATCACTCAGTTTGCTCTATTAATCTTATATATACTCGTATTTTCTTTCAGTCGCGTACATGAAAGGAAATATTTACGCTTGAATGGTAACTGAACAAGAAGAAAAATATAATGAAGTACTTCAGCAATAAAATTTTGCCTATATATTTTCATTGCATAAAAGTTTTCTTCAGATAAATTTAATAACTGATCGGTTTTCTAATTATTAACGGAATTTTCAGTGTTTCATAATTTCATATATTTCACGACCTTGAATGAAATTCATGTATGTAAAAACATTTTATATAGAAATATAGTAATATACAGATTTTTAAATGACTAAAATTATTAATAACTTCTGTACCATTTCGTTATGTTCGAAAATTTTTATTAAATATTAAATGGATAAATGCGATTTTTTGTTAAATTATTTACTGGTGATAGAATGTGAAGTAAAATTGATTCTTACTATTCAATAAATTTTTGCACTTGTGTAAACTGTATTGCGTTGATTACCGTTGATTTGCGTTGCATTTAAAAAAAATAATCTTTGCATGTATATAAAAATCTTCATATATAGCTAACAAAGGTATAAAGTGATGAATCTTGTCTTAATTAGAATACTAAGATGCTATATTCAGTCCCTAAATCTTCAAGAAAGTGTGTTGTATAAATGACCGAAGCTGCAGGCACTGCTTGAAACAAAATAAGCCGCATAATTTTCGCCTCAACGGTATCTTTTGGCGTAGTATTATATACACTATTTGTTGAATGCTCCCTTTTATGCGTGTAACAAGGATTTATTATCGTTTGATGAATTCTCAAAGGCTAAAAAATCTCACTGATACCAGCTGCAGTGTAACAATCTATGCAAACAATCCGTTAACTGTAGGAGTTATGCAAAACGCTGAACCGAGATATATTTTATTGAAAATTTTATGATGCAATTCGTTTAAGATAAAACTGTTACTTCAACGGTAGACATTAGTTCAATGATGTCGTGATATCAATTTATTAGTAACAGGTTGCTACTTTGTATTACTTAGCAACAGTTTAATAGATTTTGATTCATTAATAAAATTCCCAACCTATGGTATATATTACATTACATTTCGTCTAAGTACTTTAGAACAAAAAAGGAAAAAATTATAATATTTTCTAATGAAAAATATCAAGTCTGAGAGGAATACGCTAAGCTCAGCCGAAAACTGACTGGCATACTTTGAATGCCAATCAAATCTCCATTTATCGATTTTGATTCACTTTTAGTATAAAGTTTTATTCCATATAATATTTGAGATTTAACATATACATATGCTTTCTTTTCCTTTCGCCATCGACGGAACAGCTGGCCCGCTGGTTAGGTCCTCTAAATGCTTTAATAATATATGTAATAATTTGTTTTAAATTTATAAAACATTAAAAAAGGCATCATGATATTAATATAGGGGCTTCTGAACTGATAAATTTAGATAAAGCTTGTGTTAATAATTTCTGTTAACACGTGTAATGATACCAGAAATTCACTGTCGTAGCAAACTTCTATGAGTTGGCATAAATTATATCTAAAATAAGATATATGTGACTAAACATTACTTGTTCGCTAAAATTTAATTTTTATCAAACCTTTGCTTTTAAACTGATGCATGTCATCTATTCTTATTATTCTGTTTAATTACGTTTACTTCAGAACGAATATGTGTGATTGTGTGTGATTATGGCAAAGCCTCGAGGGCTATCTTCCTAAGGGGAGGGATGCCTCTTCTTTCTAAGGGAAACTGGCTCGTATACACGTTACACATGGGGAAAACCACGAAAACGCCCATGCAGCCAGCCCGTTTGCGGGATTCGAACCTCGGACCGAACTACCAGTGTTTCGGCGACTTTACCGCTCGGCCGCTGGTGGGCCTCAGAACGAATATGACTTTGGTATTTAGTGAAATATAAGTTTCAATTTTTAGCCCGAACTTAAATTACATTTTAATTTATTATTCGAATTTATTTCTAATTATAGCTCAATAACAGCAAATTTAACAAATCATTTCAGAAACTGCTGCTAGTTTAAGTATTGTTATCGAGATAAAGTTTCACTTAAATGTGACTTGTGACTGCAGCAATTGTATTTTATACTACCTTAAAGTTGTAATTACAACCGGTATCAATTAGTAAATATATAATCAATATTCATTTCTGAGCGCCTTGATTTGAAAAACCTTTTATTTAGTTATATATTTTAATTATTACTCTCCATAAAAAATTATATTTTACTATTTTGATCCGTAAACAGTTATATCAGAATAGTATGAAATACAGCAGTTTTTTCCCGTAACTAAACTTCTTATCTTAAATTAATACTAGAACGTGAAATTTTTATCTTTAACGTTTATCGTTCAGAAATAACAAGTTCTGAACTCGTACATCGAAATACCGAATGTTCGTACTAATTAATATATAGAAGATCATAAAATCCTATCTACATATGTTGCAAATTTCTCCACAGTTCCCTTAAAACTGCATAGGTGCCGAAAGCTTTAATTCTTCACACGCTCTAAAATGATATAGGGTGTACTATCTAAAATAAGATATAATTAAGGTAATAATAAAATTTAAATACATCTTATTTTTCTCATATGCATCCATATATGTATTTTTTTTGTTTAATGTTGTGTTTGCGGTTATGATGGTATCAAATATGAATGCGGTTTATTCACTTATTATATGTTAGCGATTTGTGTAAATTTTTCATTTTCCCACAGTGATCAGACTTTCTGTTAGTATTTCATTTTCTTTTCCTTAAATATCCTTCCACCTGTTCTTGTACCAGTTAATCACTAATAGCCTGATCCTATAAAACTTTATAGGTTGTAATATTATTATTTTTCTCCTTTTGTAGCATCGATGAACTAATAGTTAGCGAAGTGTGAGTGATGGTTCAAAAGCCATGACGTGGTTTGAATCTTGGTTCTTTTGCTTGTATATGTCCTCCCCTGTCCCCTGTTATGACTGCACAAACATATGCCCCTTTGATGCACCCTCGGGGTTGAGATTGCTAAATGGCGGATTGAGTTCAGCCATTTCCGACCATTTTTCCGATTGCTTTAAGCTGCAGGTATCCAACTTTTCTCCTACAGATTACTTCCTTCAGTTATATCTTCAAAGCTTCGAATAATTTCACAAAGAGGATATGCTGTTTTCTTTTTTATCTCAAACCACAATAACGTATTTAGTACATTTTAGTTTAGATACCTTTTAATCTGATTCAAGCCTTACAATCTAGTTTCCATGCATTAAAAATTGCTCCTACACAAATTCAATTTATAAATTGCCTGCCTAGTAACGTTTTGCGAGCTATTGCATGAATAATAAGCAGAACGGTTAACCAACACACATATAATTCGAATCCCAATGCACTTTTATACATCGCAAAATTAGAAAATTTGACTAAAATATTATTAAATAATTATTTATGTATTGGTTTTCAATTAATTTGTTAATTACTGAAAACATTCGCCCAAATGGAAAACGAAAATTCCTATATCTGCCTATCTTGTGATTTTTTAAAAATAAGTTATTCCGTTATAGATTACTTTTATTTAATAGCAATATAAAATAATGTAACACAAAGCTATTATTTTAGCACCAAAGTTTCCAACACGAATGAAACGCTAGCCATGTTTTAAATGACATTTTCAGCTGAACTTTACGAACAACTTAGGAATTCTGCTTTAACGGCTGAAAATAACACATTTCCTGCGGAAAAGAAACCATTTCCACTTTCTTCCGAGCAAGAAACTGTCAAATTTCCTCTGAAAAGAAGAATTCATCGATTTTGAGAGAAGAGAAAACTATACCAAATTTCCTAAAGAAGGAAACTTAGCAGCATTTTCTAGATAATGTCATTTAATTCCTGAATTCTACGCAAAGAATATCTATTAAATACGGCCAATCAGTATAGAGTATGCTCCAAAAAATAATGTTACGCTGCGTAAGAATGAATTGTTTAGAGACACAATT